TGCTCTTTACTCCCCTTCCACTACTGATCTTGTTGCTTGTTTTTATGTACCATTTCACAAGCTTTCCAGTCCCTGTCACTTTGTAAAAAAAAGAATTTCTGTCTTCTTCATTTCTATCCCCATTTAGCCGTTTTGCCTCAATTAAGTTCATTTTCAGCTTTTCTCTGTCTTCCTTGGAGAGGTCTTGTCTTATTGACCAAGATTTGCCAACCTCATCACTCTGCAGTTTCCTGGCATTTCTTAGCACTTCCATCATGTTTTTCACTCCATTAAAGGTCACCCTTAAGGGGCGGTTCTTTTCTTTCTCATATTTTCCTATTCTTCTAAAATCACTGACATTTTCCTTTGAGCCTTCTCCTAAACCTACTATTTTCTCTATGATTTTCATCTCTTCTGCCGCTCGGTCCACCCTAGATGAAATTTCCTTCTCTAAACATCCAAAAATGATTATGGACTTAGTTCTATCTGCAGTGCTTTGTACCAGTTTACTGTTGGTAACCAGTTCTTTCCTAATTGCTTGCCTAATTTCTGCTTCTTGTTGGTCATTTCTGTGTGAACACACTTCTTTGTGTGTGTGTTCTTTATTCACCTCCTCTATGTGAGTTGTGTGTGTGTGTGTTAGTGTGTGTGTGTGTGTGTGTGTGTGTGTGTGTGTGTGTATGTAGGTATGTAGGTATGTAGATATGTAGATATGTAGATATGTAGATATGTATATATATATATATATATATATATATATATATATATATATATATATATATATATATATATATATATATATATATATATATGTATGTATATGTATACATATATATATGTATATGTATATATAATATATATATATATATATATATATAATGTGTGTGTATGTGTATATCACGTACAGCTTTTCGGACAAGTACTTAATACAGTATTAATTTTCCCTGAATACGACCTGCCAAACAGTTTAACAACCAGGTACCCCACATTCACTACTGGGTGAACAAAGGCTACAGTTAAGGATTGGTGCCCAGTAAATCCTACCCGGCCAGGATATGAACCCAGGCCAAAGTGCTCGCAAAACGTAAGGCAAGTGTGTCACCACTTTGCCACGGGGGACTAATTCTTCCAGTTAATTAAGAAGAATTAGGGCCCCACCCAGGCTACCAAACCAGGACACTACTAAACTTTACTATACTTGGAAAGACTCAACAGATAACCTGGAAAGATCTTATATAGGCTGAGAGATTCATGTTGCTCACAGATTATTCAGGTAAATAATTTATCCATTTTTCATCCTAGGTGCTGTTCAATATTGTCACCCTTGTACTGTATATGAAGACACTGACTAGAACCAGTTCATCACATGTCATCACTTGGCCCTCACCGACTTCCCTCGGGATCAAAGGAAACAAGGTCTCCCTGATCAAAGGGTATTGTCAGCTGTCAGTCCACCGAGAAGAGCGACCACCTCATCTTACGGTGCCACTCTGACCATCTCGCTCATAACACCACCTACATTACATGACACAGATCCCTTCAAAATGTTCTTATTTGTTTGTTTTTTTGTTTCACACACTAAAAGTCAATGTTATATAAAAAAAAAAAATAAACTGTTTATTAGGATTACATGCAAATATTATAAGGAAATTCAATAATTGTTTATGGCAAAGATGACAACCCAGCATAACATTTACACAATTATTATACAAAAAACTATAATATTGCCATAAATTTGGTTTATAAACCAAATTTATCCTGTGTGCAGTAGACAGTGTTGATGAGAGAGGTGAGACAGGTGCTGGTGTCTTTCAATATGACAGGAAGGATGGAGCAGAAGCTCTTACAACATTCATCAACACAAAAGCTGCCACTGGCCACCAAGGTGCATGTGTACCCTCCTACGACAAGCTACAGGTGGTCTCCAGGACAAGTCTTCAGGTCAGAATGGCCAAGTGAAATGCAGAAGACATGAACTCAGACTTTAGACAAACGAAAATGATTGGAGAATCAATAAGATTAAAGGAAATTGATGTGTGTAGTGAGGGGTGATGGACTTGGTTGCCTCCACATTCATGTATACCCTTGATAATACAATTGAAATTGCTTTTAGTAAAAACAATATAGAATCAATGTGTGTCATAAGTATAAAAAGTACGAAGTTCAATACTGGATAAAATCAAAATACATCTGTCCAAATAATTACCTAATTTTCTAAATATGCAATGTAAACTATATTCACACCCTAGGAAATCAGTATTTCCTGAAGTCTCCTTTCTTCATTGTAGAGGTCTTGCAATAGGTCACGGCACTTCTCAGTGGGGACTATGAACATTCTTTCAAGCATTATTAATCCAGCTTTTACAGATTACATAGAAAGCATTTGCTACTGTCCTGCACAAAATTTTGACTCAAGCTAGAGAGATGGGATTTGTATCAGAAGTATGGTGTATGACAGGTAAGAATACCTGTCAGGAAGGAAGCAAAGGGTTACTGGGAGAGCTTTGATATCAGATTGAAGAGAGGCTAGGAATGAAATACCACTAGGACTGATGTTGAAACCCATCCCATTTCTAATAAGGTCTATATTAACAACCTGACAGACGAAATTGCTTCTTTTATACAGTATACATTTTTACAAGGATGCAAAATTAATTAGATGAATCAAGATAGAGATTGTGATACACTGCAAATGGATCTGGACACACTCAAAAAGTGGTCTGAAAAATTGTTGCTAAAATTTAACCCAGACAAATGGAAAGTTATAAAAATTAGAATATAGGTAAGAAGACTTGTACACTTAAGTAATTGCATGCACATGTGCTCTCTCTCTCTCTCTCACACACACAGTCTCATGTACATGTATGCGAGAAATAAGTGCTTATCGAATAGTCCAGACCCACGTGCCCAACCACTTGGGCGGGACAGTAGAGTGACAGTCTTGCTTCATGCTGGTTGGCATTCAATTCCCAACCATCCAAGTGGTTGGGCACGATTCCATTCCCTCATCCCATCCCAAATCCTTATCCTGATCCCTTCCAAATGTGATATAGTCATAAAGGCTTGGCATTTTCTCCTGATGGTTCCCTTTCCTGCCTCCCCACATCTGCCAGCTCATCTTAAAAAATTAAATGCTATTTTCTAGTTACATATATATAGTAATCACCTGTTCATTATATAATTCATAAAACATAACATCAGGGAAAAACAAGCCACATGGCAGCAGCCATGCACAACAGCAACCCAATGAGAAGTGCTTCTCATATATTGTCATACAGAGTACATACAAATACAGAGGAGACTCAATTAACAAATTTTTGTTCCGTTCCGGCACCGAGCTTGTCATGTGAAACCCTCGTCTTGCAAAACGAACTAAAATTAATCCGTTCCACCCCTGAAAAACATCATATGACATTTTATAATGTAACTATAATGCTGTACATGTAATTATTATAAATGTTATGTTGTGCTGTTTTCAATTGTACATGTACTTTACCTTATGAAGAGTCGTTGCCGACTTGAGGGAGACGATGGGGTGGTGGGGAGGAGGAGCGGGGTTACGGTGTGGAAGGAGAATCCACCTCTGAGTCAGGCGGGCTCTCTTATTGGGAATTTCACCCCACTGGGACCAGGTTGTGGTTCACTATCATTTGCTCATCTTTTCTGTATCTTTCCAAAGAACGTATCTATTGACAATTGCTTTTGTCTTCGTTTTACGATATCCCTAAAACAAGACAGCAAATTTTCACTAAACGTGTTCACACACTATGTTGTCATTGCTTTATCAGGGTTGATATTGACAGTTGTCAATAGCTTTTCCAAATCTACAAATCTTCAAAAATTGTGTCTTTCTTCCTCTTGACAACACTATATTTAGTAAGCAGCAGCTTTGGCGACATCGACATTTGTAGTCACAAAACCACAAAAAAACAAAGAAAAGCATGAATAAATGCAGAGGGATGCTTGTCCTGTGCGATACAACAACACTGTCGTCGGAGGCGTCAAGAATTTGCGAGAACCTGCGGGAACGCTAGGAAGCACCACGTATGGTTTTCTAGTTAATCGAGTGGAAGCTCGTCAATAGAGATGAATTTTCTGCAAGTGGCTCGCTCATTACTTGAAATGCTCGTAGATGGGGCTGCTTGTCACACGAGGTTCCTCTGTACTGTATACAGTATTCAGATTGAAGAAATGTGATCGAGATTGAACTCTCGCAACCGTGTGCCGAATGTTGTTCGTTCCCCCCCCCCCCCATCCGTCTTTACCTTCCTGTCCTCACATACTCAGTTTCACTAATACAAATTCTTCACCAGTCTACCATCAACCTTTGTTAAATATGACCAACTGTCTTTATATGATCTCGATCTTGGAGTTTTTTTACTTTTGCATTCATCTCAAGGACATTATTATTTCTTATTCACCACAAACTGCACATGATTCTCAGATTATCTATTTCTGCTGCTCTAACTCTATTTTTTACATTCTTACCGCATAAGAGTGTCAGCACCATCACTTCATGCAGACCTTTGGTTGTATCTCCTACCTTAATTTTTCCTAACTAAGCCTCTCATTTTACCAGCCACTTTTCTCTCCTGACTGATCTTACTTTTAACATGGATTGCACTAATTGAAATTGACCACTTTCATCACTATTATTTACACTTATTTCAAATAAAAGATCGTTCTCTCTAAACCACTAACTTTTTGTCTGTATACTTTCAACAGTCACTTGCCTCAATAAAATTTTAAGTTATCGGTAGTTTACATAACTTGCTCTATCTTATGTTGATATCAAATTTTACATTTTCCAATTTCTCATTTTATGGCTATACACAACCTTTATATGTACCATGCTTCAATTTCACACCTATGTGTGAAACAGGTTACCAGGCAAGACAGAAATAAAGCATTGTGGTCCTCTAGACTCTAATGAAATCATCAATAATATTTGTTGTCCCCTTCTATTTCACATACAAAATATTAGGGGTTGATCATTAATTAATTTTGTTTTTCATTTTCAGGTTTACTTTAATGGTGAGAAAAGGTTACAGAGACCCTCCTTACCACAATTGGCTGCATGCTTTCTCTGTCACGCACTTCGCCTTCCTCCTGCTGCACAACCTCTGCTTGACGGAGAACGGCTCCCTAACCCACCTTGAGGCCCTGGCGCTCATAGTCTCCTCCATGTGCCATGATCTTGACCATCGAGGCACAACAAATTCTTTCCAGGTCTGTCATTGTGTGGTAACAATAGCAATATTAGCATAAGTGTTGGTACAGTATGATATTCATTTGCATTTGAAACCATAACAAATCCAATCATGCACATTTGGGGCAGATCAACAGTATACATTGGCACACCAGGAATCTTTTGAAAACAATCCCATCGGGTCATACTGGTGTAAGGTAGATAATAATTTTTGGTCCAGCCCAAAATTACCACCTAGATGATTCTTTAAAACACACTCAGAGATACACAACAAATAGCACACTCACACAGAGTGTGCTATTTGTTGGTCAGTGTTGGTACGTACGGCTTTGAAAGGCTTTGAGTGTATTCGAGTGAACTTTCTAGAGGTCTCCTAAGCACAGTTATGATCCGATAGAGATGTTAAGAAAAGATCCTAGTTGCAGCAGAGCACACTTGTCATCCTGCCCAGTGTATGCATGATCTGGTCCAACAAGACCAGGAAGGATCTTTCCTAAGAAAAAAAATGTTCTACTCAAATTTGTTGATGTGCTTTCAAAGCCCTATTTGTTTTTAGTGTATAGATATGAAACACATTACAAATCATGTTACAGCACACTTGGCTGCCTCTCCTCACCTAGGACTGGCATACAAGTATTACAATTTAGATATTTTTAAGTTAAATTATAGGATGAATTTCAGTTGCATCCCTTATGAGGATATATATATTATTTACAAATAACCTTTACATTTACTACAATATATATAATTTCAGCTATAGCATTATGCTGCAGTTAATACTTTACAATTTATGTATTGTGTGTGCTTATGAACAGGTGGCGAGCAATTCTGTTCTTGCATCACTGTACTCATCTGAGGGATCTGTGATGGAACGGCACCACCTCGCCCAGGCCATGTGTATCCTCAACACCGATGACTGCAACTTCCTGGAGAATCTCAGTCGAGAAGAATATACACTGTTCCTCGATTTAATGCGTGATATTATTCTTGGTAAGAATATACATTATTTCTTAATTTAGTAAGAGGCATATTATTCTAAATAAGAACAATTTGTCATGGTGTATTATACTTATGTTTGCCTGTACAAGATGCGGTAAATGCTGTTCTTTAACTACATGCACCCATTCCTCTTTCACATTTGTGCATGTTCTTCCATCACATTTGCATCTGTTCCTCTGCCTCATTTGCATCTGTTTCTCTGCTGTATTTGCATGCATTCCTCTGCCCCACGTGTACCCATTCATCTGCCGCATTTGCACCAATTCTGCAGCATTTACATCTGTTCCTTTGCACTGGCTTCATCCTGATCATCATGATCATCATTTAACACTGTCAAGTCTGTAAACAAACAGCCGTAATGTATGATGATAATCTACAAATAAAAAGGGCCTTGGTTACCACACATTCAAAGACCCAGTTGCAGACAAATTATTTGTCTTTGTATTGGACTGTATTCCAGGTGATCATTTAATATTTTTACAAGAATTTACATTGCTCAAAGTTCAGCACAATATTTTAAATTTAAACATCAAACAAAACTGAAATGTTAAAAAGTAACATAATTATCAATTTGTTTAGGGTGAAACCTGAGTAGATATGATAAAAAGTATGGTAGACAGAATACATGTATTCCTATTGGCTGGAAAACATCATTTATACACTTTTCTTCTTTTAAAGGGGCTAAAGTTAGTACAACATTGCATTAGGGAGGACAGTCTACAATTTTGGGACCTTTATTTGAATGGCATTTCTGCTTTGTTCATGTCCGACTCTGGGAATGTCAGAATATACATTTTGTATGTAGCATTAGTGTTCTGTAGCAGCGCTCTTGAATGGTGTTGTGTTGGTATTATAACTTAATTTTAAACATATAGAGGGCAAATGGCAACATGTGTAATTCTTTTATATTTACAATGTCCAAGTATCTAAACAAGGGTACGAGTACTGTAAATAACATACAATTTTTAGTGATGTTTACAAACTGCAGTATTTAGCAATAGTGCAAATATAATAATTAATGTTCACAATAACATACATATGTTTACAATATATTAAAAGTACTGTACAAAATGTAAACATTTTCACTCTCTCCATTAGCGACAGATCTGGCACATCACCTCCGCATCGTGCCAGAGCTTCGTGAAATTGCAGCAGTTGGCTATGACCCCAGCAATCAGAGACATCACGAACTGTTAATCTGTTTACTCATGACTGCTGCTGATCTCTCAGACCAAACTAAGGTAACATGTAAATGTGCAAATTGTTCCAGATGCCTCTGTTCACCTAGGTAGGTAGAATAGTACCTAAATAGATACAGTACTGTTTACACTCGATAATACAAATTATCTGGGACCCACCCCATTTGAGTTAGCTAAATTTTTACCTGTTAAGTACAATAGTGAACAACTCATTCAACTTTATTTGGGTTTTCATTCACCTGAAATCTTGGTAATCTGAATTTTTATTAAAGTTAAGGAGACAAAACATGAATTCTTTATTTTGGTTTCCTGTTCAACAGAAAGCTTGGTAATTTAAAATTTTATTAAAGTCAAGTAGTGAAAAACTAAAATTTATTTGGAATGCCCAAAGATTCACGTTACTGGAATTTAGATTACCAAGCTCTTACTGTACTCTGGAGTTAGGCAACTGTTGTGGGTTTCATTTTGGAGACAGTAGTTTCCAGTAACATCCACATATGTTTAGGTTAATGATTAACCTTGTACAATACAGCACAGTATTAACATACAGTATAGCATAACAAATGGCAAATCATTTGTTTTATTACTTATTGCCTTACATCTCTTCATTATAGATGTGGAATGTTTAAGCATTTGCTTCTTACATGTCTGCTATGTTGATACAATAATGTATATGTACATAGACTCATAGAGACTTCTTCTTACAGGATTGGCAGTCTTCAAAACATGTTGCTGAGCTAATTTACAAAGAGTTTTTTACACAAGGAGATTTGGAGAAAGCGATGGGTAACATGCCACTGGAGATGATGGACCGAGAGAAAGCATTCATTCCTGAACTTCAGTTACAGTTCTTAGATGATGTGGCCATTCCTGTCTATGAGTAAGCATACGCCTTGTTTTCTGTTTGTTGTATATTGTTTCATAAAGGGTTTTTTAGTATAGCCCTGAATATCTACCAAGGAGAACAATTTAAAAACATTTAGTTCTCTGTATAGGAATATTGAAATGCATTTGCCAATCTTCTGCCTATTTGTGGAGTTTGTGTAGATATCTTTGCAAGGCCTCAATATTGGTTTTGCTTCCTACTTTATTTTTCATAGATCTTAGTGTCATCTGCAAATTTGCTAAGGTGGTTTGTAATATGTCATTGATGTACAGTACAGTACATGACAAAATGGGTTGCCCTCCCCCTCCCCAGATGGAACCTTGTAGTATTCCACTTGCTACATTTTTCCAGATTCATTTCCATTAAAGATGATCTTTTGCTTTCTTTCTTTTAGGCATTGTCTTATGCTAGCATTTTGCCATTTATTCCATTTGCATGCAAATTCTTGCTTTTGTTGGATGATGGGTCTCGCTGCTCTTATGTGTTTTGGCCACATCACACTTTGTGGCAGGCCATTTCAAGCACATTCAAATGTCATGTTTGAACTCGAAATTTAAAATATTTTAAGTCATTAGTTTTATTTAAATTTAATTTTATTCAAAGTTCCTTAACCACTGCACTGCACACCTGGTTTAGGGAAAAACTTCATAGTGCAATTGTCAAGGACAAATTTTTATTTTTTTATGAATGTTCAGGTAAAGTTAATGTCAAAATGTTTCCACACTCAACTATTTTAATTTCAAAACACAATGAGTGATGAAAACATTAAAAAACATTAACATAGAGCCTAATTAAAAAATAGCACAACTCTTAGAGCACCTTAGAGTGCTCTGCACAGTACATTGGTTAAGGCAGTATTGCTGAAGTTCGCATTGGACAGGATCATGACAGTGTGTACTACCACATCGGGTTCTCTTCAAACGGTGCTTGTGCAGTCAAATGGACCAGAATTCGGTTCTCAGGCAGGCCAAGACATTTGGGCAAGTTTCCTTACCCATGATGTCTCTGGTCACCTTACAGTGAATATATACCCAAGAGTTGTGGGTTGCATTCAAGGGAAGGCCAGTCCTTCCTGACCATTGTTCGGACTTTGCTCAAAATCGCTCAGTGACAGATTACCCACTGCATTATTCTTACACAAAAAATTACTGTATTAATTTTGGTTGTTAATATCTAAAGATAAGCTCAGTTTATTGTTAAGGCTGGTTGTTGGTTTGGAAAAGGAATGCAAAAGTATCCTGATGACAGTTTACAAGTGTAGATGGCCATTTCCACTTTGTATTTATCACTAGCAGTTACGGTGAAGCATTTTTTATCTTTCCCCATACACGAGTCACGTCTTCTTTTGTCACTTCAAATTTTGCCAGTGCAGCTTGCCCTGCAATTTTGCAAGGATCCTTTTATAACTTGTGGGCTATCTAACAATGAATCAGTAATATATATTTGTTTATCTTGAGGTGGTGGTCTTGGGTTACAGCTATAACTGTACAATGCCAAGTGGCTCCTAACCCTAGTACTTTGATTTGGGCTTCAATCTAATCTAGCCACAATTTAAGGCCTTGTGTAAACAATTGCAAAGTGTATTGAAGGCAAACAATAGCAAGTTTGAAACCATCCAAGCAAAGTAGGATAATGCCTTACTAGTTTTTAATAAATTTTCTTCTTTTCAGAATTGTAGCAAAATTATTTCCTGGAGCTCAAGAACCATATATTAGTATTCAGGCTAGCAGACGAAACTGGGCAAGATTAAGAGATGTATACAAACGTAGGAAACCCGAGTCAACAAGTTCACTTGAGGTTTTTGAAGATGACTCGCTTGATGAGGAGCTGGAGAAGGAAGACTCCTGAAATACCCTCGTGGGGGATCATCTCGGCAATTAATTTTTTTGGAGAGCAATTCCTCCAGTATTCCAATTCATGGAATAAAAAAATGCTGTGTGACATTTGATGACATGAAAGATTGCCAAATATTGGAGCATTATTTACCAATTCACTGAAATGTTGCAGGCACTGCAGTTAATGTTGAATTTAAAGAGCACCTTTGCCTATTTTTGCAACTGTGTTTGGTTTTGAGTTCAGTGGTTAATATTTGTTCCACTTGGTGAAGCAACTTTCTAAGTTGTACAGTGTTTGTTATAGTACCTTAAGTGATGAAGCACATGCATCACTTAACTGGAGGAAGTATGACACATGACTGCATCACTGATCTTACCACCACATCTTTTATAAATAACGTGCAAACTGAAATTTGTTGGAGTGAACCCGAGAAGAATATGCATATTATGCAGTTACTATAATAAGCTGAACCTCAATGCTGCCAAAGATTTATAAAACATTTGATACGAAGTGGCACAATCATAGTTTAAAATCATCTAGGCCAATTCAATCCAACTGTAATTATTTACTTGCACAACTGACACATGCAACTGCTGCAACAAGATGAATTTCTTAGTTACCTCTGATGTCCTTTCACCTGAAGGTCTCCAAGAAATAACAGTATGAGCAGGAGCAAATTCTTCAAGATATTAGATGAACAGGCAAGTGATTAAACAGTTCTACCAGTAACGCCTTTAACTTTTGTACACATGTTACTGAATAAGCTAAGGTTTCACTGTAGGCCAGCAGTCACTTTCCAAGATGTGGATCTGTGGATTGTTCAGTTGGTTAAACTAAATACAATTGGTTCTTGATAGTAACTATCTGGGTGATGCATGTACACAGCTATACCCTAGTTAGGGTGATGGGGGGACCTCAACAAGCTATACACGAGCTTACCATCCCAAGCATGGATTATCCATAAAAAGAATGCCATCATGTTAACAGAAATGAACCATGGTATTTGTTAAAGTTACCATCATTACCAAATGTAGAATTTCTATGGCTGTAGGACAGAGCACTGAAAGTTGACATCTTTAATTTTTTTTAACCACATGTTGAGATGGAATTATCATTCAGTATGCTGTTCAGATATATATTTAATTCCCAACATGTCACCTGTACATTATATGCAATATCTCTGTAAATTCAAGTACTGTACAATATATGTGGAACCTCCATAAATACTCTCCCCCCTAAGCCTGAGGCAATGATTATGAAATGTATCAAGTGACACTCTACCAAGCATGCAGAGCCAGTCAGGTTATATGATGAAAAGTTTAGTCACAACTAACGAAGAAAAATTCTTAAAGGCTCCACCAGCTAGCACATTTTTTGTTTGAGTATAAGATGCAGGCAAGGCCAGCAATCTTTTTAACAAATTCCTGTGCAATTATTGTCTTTAATGTATCAAGACAAATCCAAAGCTTTCTTTGAAAAAATGTACACAATGTTTTCATCCTTTCCATAATTAAATAATTGTCCATTTTCTTATGAGACTACATGGATTTAATCAGGTAAGCTTGTGGATCACTGAATAATAAGTAACTCAATATTTCCCAAGTATTGCCAGGTTATTTTCCAACTTTCAAAATTGTCCAAATTATTTTTCACCTGATCTTGGCGTTCACAGGTCTGAAATGTAGACGATTCATTTCTGTAACATTATATACTATACAATTTTACACAATCCTAAGATGTGGAGCTGTATATGAGAAAGAGGCATCTAAGTACTTATAAAAATAAAGCTCAGAGTTAGGGAGTATATATAGAATTGTTAAAGAATATTTAAGAGTTTCTCAAGGCAACATCAAAGATGCCAATATGAAATCAGAAAGACCAAAGATTATCAATGTTAGAATAATCAGATTCACAAAGAACGTTATTGAGAGAAAGGTCATACTGAAGTAGCAGGAAGCAAACCTTCCAATTATTCTGAAATTTAGGACATTGTGTTAAGAGATGAGAGAGCTTAAGTGGAACAATGCAGTTTGGCAGAAGGTGTATGACTATTTTGTTGACAGAAGGAAAACTACAGGAATAGTTTACATTTTCTTGTTAATCATTTATTTGTAGTATTAATCATCAAACTCCAGCAATTGTGGATTGTTACGAATGACGGGTAGAAACTTAAATAAGGAATTAACGTCTGGGTGATAACAGGCATTCCACCAACAGAAAACTTGCTAATGTGATTGAGGGGCTCTATCATTAATACACTGTAATCAGTGCTGTATATAAATACAATTACTATTGTTGAGGCTGTCAATACTGAAGAAAACAGTGCTATGGAGTGCTCCCATCCTGGGGTAATCTATTTTTTGCAACGAATATTTAAAGATTTTTCCAAGTGTTAATATCATTCCAGGTAATAATTTTTCTCTAGTTCAAAGCAGTTGGTCGAGAGATGTCAAGGCTACCTTTCCAACCCGTCCTCTTAAAAATAATGTCACTTTTGGTTCGTATGTGCTCTATGGCCAAATGTGGACGTAATTTTAAATTACAGTATATCGAATCACAAAAGTGACGTACTGTTCCGTTTTCTGTTTGAGTCATCCGGCTTACTCGGCAAGCTTAGAAGAGGCAACTTTCCACTAACGTTTTTCATACCATTTTGAAACTATGAGAATTTCCTGCCCACCTAACCTATCAGAGGACCCTTAACTTACTGTTGTTGAAAAAAAAATCCCAAATTTATTTTCATTTTTTTCATGTTCAAATTACGTCCATATTCGGCCATACAGGCAAACGGCCAAAAGCGACGTTCTTTTTAAGAGGACAGGTTGACCTTTCTGCTATCATTATCAAGGATATTTAAAATTAGCTCTATATCAGTGTAGTAACTTTTGCAAGTTGTGCTCGTGCTTTGAAAATATTTGGAATGCATACTCACTGTGGTAATATTGTATTAATTTAATGGTGCCTTTATAACAAAATTGCCTTCATGTGTTTTCAAAGTGGAAAAGTTGATAAATGAAAAAAAAAGCTAAATTTATAATAAGCACACATTGTTATTCACTATGATTTATTTATAAGTTAAGAAATTGGTTTCAAAATACAAATGCAAGCATAAGTTTGAGATATCATCTATGGGTTTCATGGGTTTTGTTGCAATGTATATCTGTATCAATGTTCTTTTCTTGTGTGTGATACAGACATGCACACAAGACAGGACCCGGTAACCAGATCTCACTTCCCATTGATAGTAAGGTGCGCATACATTACACCAACATTACATACACTATGAGCGATGTCTTAAAATAGTGCTCGAATGCTTTATTTATTAACAAATAATCTTAAAGAAATTTTTATAAATCCATGACTTGCACAAATACATTACTCTAGAATAATATATAAATTAACTGGAGCCTTGATGCAAGGTGTTTAAAATGAAAGGTTTATCACTACCAAGAGCAATAAAGCTAACTATATATATTATGACTAATGTTTTACAATAGAACATGTGTGTGTGATGGTTTACTACAGCATGAGGGAATGGCAGAGCGTAGGTATTCAAGGTGACGTGCTGCTCATCTATATTAGCATTACATATAACTCTTGCACCTTAAAGCTTCAAGGGATCAGTATCTTATTTTTTTTAACATGTGAATTGTACTTTAAAGTGTCAAATTTGGATATCGGAAAAAAGTATAAAATTTTGGAGGCATGATAATGTTTATTTATGTTTTCAACTGTCATAGTTTTTACAAAACACAAATTTGCTTAATAGGGAAAGTTTATTTTGTAGAATGAATAAAAAAAAAAAATTCTTTTACACTATGTCCTCCTGTTTAGATAGTAAATTTTGTAACTGTGCAATAGCACAAGGATTAATGTTCTAAGCAATTAGATAGTAGAATTTTGTACTATTCACCTTATAAGAGTCCAAGAAAAATTAAGCTGAAAAAGAAACAAACAATCCTAGACCTAGTATAGCACACATCTGTTCTATATTAGACCTCAGATATAGTGTATAGGCCTACTTAGATTAGTTTAGTTTGTCTTTCCAACATAAATAGAAAATCTTTTCCAACTTGTCCAAATTCAGTAATACCGATTTCTACTTTCTAACCGTGTTGTATGTTGGTACAGTATACAGTATGTAGTATGGTCCTCATCGTTAATGTAAGTACTGTACTACCAAAACAGGAGGATGGGCTGCACACTATGAGAATAAAACAGCTTATGATTTAATAAAAGTTAAATTCACATTTATAAAATTTAGGAAGGGTTGATCATGCCTTTATTTGTGATATTAAGCTAGTAGGTGAACTCGTTTACAACGATTTATAAACAGTTATATTTAGGTATGTATTGACAGTTATATTTTCATGCAAGTTCATTGTATGAGTAATACAGTACATAAAATTTAAGATTACTTCTCTTAAATGAGGACATGTACAATCCTTATAGGTTATTTAGATATCTTTAACAAATTTAGAACACTTCACCTAATTATAATGAGTACTGTTCTGCCAGGTATGGTACTGGGAAGTCTTTAAAATATAATCATAAAATAGAGAATTTATCTCTAATACATTGGAGTTCATTTTGTAGACTAAGAAGGTAAGGTCAGACACTTGCTTTTACATACAGAATTTGTCTAAAGCTGGAGATTCACATTCTAGCAACATTTACTGTACCTCGGTGTATACCTCTATCTTGTTTAACACATTTGACACTACTCTTTTATTAAACGAGTCTGCTTCACCCTGGTAAATCTTTTCTTGATTATATAAATGTAAGAAAAACTTTTTTCTTGTTGGTGCTATGTATTGACTTCATAATACGGAAAAATTTGTAATATTTAATACAGGTTTCACTATTTGTATAAATTTTGTATAAAGGGTTTCATGATACAATAGTCTAAAGGGAAAATATAATATTTGATCTGCATTTCAAATTAGGATGTGCTCAGGTGTAATTACCTAATTACCTTAGTGTGTATGTCTGTACTCACCTAATTGTGCTTGCGGGGGTTGAGCTTCGGCTCCTTGGTCCCGCCTCTCAACTGTCAATCAACTAGTGTACAGGTTCCTGAGCCTATGTGGCTCTATCATATCTATACTTGAAACTGTGCATGGTATCTGCTTCTACCACATCACCTTCCTAATGTAATGTAATGTAACATCTGTGTGTGTATATGTATGCACGTATATAGATGTGCATGTATATGAATGTTTATATGTGAACAGTGCATTAGGTGAAAGGAGTACCCAACCATTTCCTGAGAATCGAACTCAGGATCCCCAGTTGTGAGCCGAGAATAAAGTCAATTGTAATATGAGAACAATGTGTGTATATATATATGTGTGTGTGTGTGTGTGTGTGTGTGTTTTTCTTTACTATTTGTGCCTGCAGGATTGAGCTGTTAGCTCTTGGACCCCACCTTTCTAACCATCGATTGTCTAATATACTGACTCCTGGCTATAAACAAAGTTGATTCCCAGGTCAGGTCTGGTTCCCAGCTGAGGCAGAAACATTTTTTCTATTTCTGTAGACTTTCTTTCACCTGATGCCCTTGCTCACCTAGCAGTAAATTGATAATTGTAAGTTAAACGGTGCTACAAGATG